CTGTAAGCTTTCTTTGTGCAGGGCCTTTTATGGCTACATTTCCCCAGTTGTAGGTGTCATGATACATCACTGTAAACCAATTAACACTGCACAGAATGTTGCCGGCCTAGCAAAAGGTGGATACTCAGAGGAGTAAAAGGAGAGGTCAAAAGCAGAAATTCAGCTGTCCTGCCCTTGCTCCAACAGCTAATGCAAGTGCCACAAACATTACAGAGCCCCCCCCCCACACACACACACACAACATATGCCCATGAAGCAATTTGAGGTGGATGCTAAGTCTGCACTGGGATAAAGTGATCCTATGGTTTTGTGTCCTTCCTCAAGAAGAAGCATTAAACAGGGAGCAATTTAAGAAGACAACCAACATTCACTTCCAAGGTTTCCTTAAAAAACATAGAAAAGATCACCTCAGTGCATGTTAAGAATGTTTCTGCCTAAGCCCTGAAATATCAGCCACAGGTTGAGAATTAGAGACAATTCTGATTGTCCTGCCTTAAAAACAAGATTGTACATAGCTGGGGGACAGAAGAGGGCAATTTAAAATATCAAAGGATTAGAACATCTTTCCCTGAAAGGAAAGGCTAAAACACTCAGGCCTTTTCATTTTGCAAGAATAAGGAAAATAAGTGGCAGCATACCTGAAGATCTAAAAAATTATGAATTAGGAAGAGAATCGAGAAAGACAAATGTTTCTCAAAATTCTAGAATCTAGGTTCACTCAATAGTACTAATCAAGGAAGATAAAGTAGGATGTGCATCTATTCAAAAGGAGCAAAGGGCCACTTTAAAAAAAAAATTATGCATTTGACCTGCTGTTTCAAAACAGTTAATAAAATAGGTTACCAAATTCCTAATTGCTGCATTATTTTTTTCATTGCTGACCTGCCAATATTTGAATTTCCAAGCTGCCAGGATCCGAGTCTTAGAGATTCTGCCCTGGAATATAGTTCTCCTGCAGGCGTGCCAGGATTAGTATTATCTGTGCATTAATATCTCACCACAGAGCCGAAACAGCTGGGAGCTAGAGAGAAAACCGCCTTGTATCAAAAATAGTTCCCAGCCTTCAGGAAACCTTTTCGTTTAAGCCACTGAAGCTAACATTTAGTTCATAAATAATAGCTGCTCATTCAGAAGTCTTTATTAATCGCTTAATGCTTTAAGGCTTGGAGAAACTGTGACAGCTTTGTCACTTCGTCAAAAGTCATTCATTACAGGGACGTTAATGCTTTCTTAGCTCAGCAAGCGAGTGAGCGTTTAGCGGCCTCGTGTGGCACAAACTCAGCATAAACACAACTGTGTGTTTGAACAGCACAATTTCTCATTTCAAGGACAAGCCTTGGCTTGAAATCCTTGAACAAGGTTTGTGGCGTTCCGCACACAACAGCTTTTTCGTTCCTGAGGCTCAGTGAAGGGAATGATCATTCCAAGGTCAATTAAATCCAGTGAATGAACCTGCAGAAAAATGAGATTTCAGAGGATGAATTTTTATAATCTGATTTGAACCCAAATAAGTAATCTCTCCTGGCCATGACTTTGATATGACTGTCATTTCCCTGCTGGCAACAGAAATAGTACTGCATCCACATACGCTCCTAAATGCTTTGTTATAACTTTTTATGAAACCAATAGAAAAGGCCCTGAAAGGTATAACTCTCTTGGATGTAGGAAGCAAGTTTACACCTGCACATAGAAATAAAAAATTATTATTCAAATGGTTCTTTTGCTGGAGGGAATGTCTTAGAAGTGTGATCAGTCACAGAAAATGGGATGCTGTAGAAATTCAGAATGCGGCAAGTTTAAGTTTAAATTCTAATTCCAGTGACACTTGAATCAAATTCTGACTGATTCAATACTATTTGGTCAACATTAAGCCTCATTGATTCATACTAAGGTAATAGCATGCTTACCACAAAATCATTTGTTATAGTCTCATCTGCCAAAACATCTGCATTTTATATGGGGGAGAGGGTCAAATTAAATCAATATAAACATTGGGCAAAACCTCCCAATGATGAGTAGAAGAATGCTTCATCCTGACCATGCTATCTTTTTTTAAAGGAATTTCATTCATTTTGAAATTATGCATTTTAACATGAAGAAAATGTTAAGAAAATGCAATATTAATATACTTTACAATGTCCTAAATGGGCAATGCAATGTGCTTAACAAACTGCTCTATATAATAAACGTTTTTAATGTTTTCATCTACAGGAAGTATAGAAATGTAATAAATTATTATTATTAGAATCATGCAATATTAATGCTTTTTTCTTTGGGCTAATATGGTAGATAGCTGTGCTGATATTTGAACTCTGTTTTTCCAATACAAAATAAACTCTGTTATTTGATTTGAAAGATCCTGCTGCTTTCTTCCTCCTCTTACTCTAATTATATGTTAATTTAATTATATAAGCTGCATCCTAGACAGAGGATAAGCCGATGATCTCATGGTGGAGACTCTTTTCCCCCTTTGAAAAAATGCCTTTTTGAGCAGCTGTTAATAAAAAAAGGGTCAGCACTTTTAAATCTTCTGAGAAGACCACCTTTTAAAACATGGCGCAAAACAACTAGCTGCTTATCAGTTTCATGGGGTGCACCTGTGACCCGCCAGTGTTGCTTCATGTGCTTTTATCACCATGCTTTTAAAGATTTTATTCATCTGCTCCCCACCAAGTTTTTCCACCTAACTAAAAAGCCCCAGTTAGTACAAAGGTAAGAATTCTCCCATTAGGTCAACCCTGTTCTGTACCCTCAGCAATTCTGGAACATCCCTCTGAAAATCAAGCAACCAGAACTAGATACTGGATTGAAACGGGTCCTGTTATAGTTATTTCAAGCATCCTTACCCTGCCCTCTGCCAAAATACGGGTCCCCCACAGCAGCTTATGAACATTGTACGAAGACTGCGAGACTGAGAGCACGGTCTACCAAAACGACCCGACACAAACGGACATGGAGTTAAGGGGAAGGTGCAAAAAAGCAAACCTGGAAACTAGATCTTAGTTACAAAGTTCTTTCCAGCAGGAAAGGGCAAGCAAGCTCCCTGCAAATTGCCCTTTTGGGGCAAAGTCTGGGGAAAGGCTAGCTTCCCGGCTGCCATTGTTTGCTTCCTGGGATGCCAATGGCATAGCATCCCAGTAGCCCTTGATCCTCTGCCCCAGAGCACCTGCCTTTCAGCTCTGCAGCCCAAGGCACGAAACAGTGGAAACCACGCGTCCTCTAGCAGGCTGGGCTGAAGCGAGCAGCACCTTTCCCTGGGCTGATGCCCGGCTGGTCTCCTCCTCCTCACGGGGATGCTACTCCTGGGAGGCAGATGGGGAATCTTTGGTCCCTGGGCTGATAAAAATAACTCATGGTACGCAGTGCTATCAGCTCATTCTATGTAATTGCCTAGAACGAATCATTCACTGCATGAGGGTGCTAAGAGAGCCCTGAAGAATTCTGGGTAATGCCATGAAGTCAGGATCTATTTTCTCCCACTATGCATCACTTCTCATTTATATCAGATCCCACCTGTCACTCTGCCCGGTCAGCCGCTTAAGAGATTACGCTCTTTCAAGCTCTTAAGAAGCCATTTAGTTTGGCATAACCAAACCTGATCACCTTTTCCCAAGCAATGCTGATTATTTCTGGGCCCAACTATTTAATTCCATTATAGAATATTTCTGTCCTTCACTCCATTTTTAACACTTCTTAATGTGGTCTCCCACCCTTTAAACTCATCAGTTTTGCAGCATCTGGTGAAATATTTGTGTGTGGCATTTCCTCAAGTTTGAAGAGTTCAAAATATTAGAACGCCATGTCCACTGTATTACCTCAAGCAAATGTTGCTGAAAAAGAAACTGCTGCTTGTGCTCGTTTTATTTTTAGGCATTGTTGATACTTCCAAAATTGAAAGAATGTGCATCTCCACTTTCCCTATTTTAGCTCCATCACTTAAGGAAGATTTTAATAGGTGGAGAAATGAAAACAGTCACAAAAAGCACTCTGGGCAAACCATTAAGGAATCGCAAAGCTCCATTTTAGCAATGGACTCCCATTTTGGATGGAAAACAGCAAGGAAACCTCAAGCTGACCTTGTTCTGTGCATCTACCAGGAAAAGATTTGTATATGGAAATAGGACAGAGTGAGTAATCACCATAACAAAATTATTCTTGCATATAACAAGGCATGCAGGGCTAATCTTCAATTGAAATAACATGATGGTTCCTTTTGTTACTGGGCCACATCCTGGGTGAGGGGGCTGGTTCCACTTTTTGAGCTTTGGTTGATTTCTGTCCACTACAAAAGATATAATTGTCTCAGTGTCCTGCTTTACAAAGCCACTACGTGGAATACCTATAAATTAAAACAGCTCATTGTTAAAGTGGAATCATGTTAAAGTCATGGGTGAGCGGGGACTAGAACGGGGTTTTCCAAGTCCTAGTTCAACACTGATCACTGCATCAAATTTTGTTTGGTTAATTGTTCTTACTGCTTGGTGTAGTTAAATAACCCTTACACAACCTGTGCCCTGTGCTTTTCAAAGGATGAAGTTTGCCGCTTGCACATTCAGCTTGGGACCGCTGGGGTGAATGCAAAGAATGTCCATGGGGTTCAGGAGTAGGTATCCATCCGCATAGCTGTCATTGGGTGAGAGGGCAATTTATGCAGAGAGCAGCTGCAATGCATGCAGGAGAACGGATACCTATGGATACCGTTTGGCCAATGGCTCCAACTGCAGATCTGTTCTCAGTCTGCACCAACAGAGATACAATTGTGAAATGTACGTTGAAGCTGCGACTGCAGAGCAAATTTGGGATATTTAAAAGCATTCCGGTTTGCAGGTTTGGCATTTCTGAGCTAAAGTAAAACATAAGCTAGAAACCTGTGAAGGATTGTGACAAATGCTTGCATAGTTATTCAACCAACAAAAGCCAACCTGATCAGCACTTACACCATAGAATCATTGAATGGGGTCAACTGTATCTAAAAAAGAAGACATTACAATAAACTAAACTGATTTATATATAAGATTTATTTAACCTGTGCATTGCAAAATTCTCTGTTTTGATGTGCAAACCAAGAAATGCTAACAAACCATGGTTTATTAACCACAAATAATCCAAAAGGAGAATCCATGATTTATTGTTGGGTTATGTATTCTTATCCTTATACCATGGGTTGTGATTACCTGTGGACCCATAACCAGGATCTGATCATGGGTTGTTTTGCCAGGCTACAGAGGTAGTAGGCAAGTATGTTCAAACAACTCAGCTGCTACACATGCCAGCTGTACAGTGCTACTAAAGCCTTTTGGATACAAGAGGAAGGTTTGTTTGGTTATCTCCCAGAAACTCATAAGTATACAAATCCTGGATAAACCAAAAGTTAAATGAACCATAGGTTAGCATTATGTGCAAACCAGGTCAATGTGATGTTTCATAAGTTTAAAGTTCTGTAAAGTTTACAAAGCATGGTTATACCAGAAGTTCATTTTTTACTACTCCATGGGGATTCAACATTAAGGTGACATCCCATCAGAAGTAGTGAAAAGATTGGTATGTGAAAATTTGATGCGAGCATGTTTGCCTATTATCCTCTTCCCCAAACAGCCCCATACAGGAAAGGAACTGCTTTTTTAAAGCCTCAGAAAAATTCTAGACCTATAGGAAAAATTCAGTAATTTAGAAAAATTAATAAATATGAAGCAAGACAGAAATCCTACAGCAGGAGAATGAATGCATTGCATATAAAATTGACTACTAATGTTGCATATGACAAGTTCAGGGGCAACACACTTCAGGCTGCATCAAACAGAGGAGCTTCAAGAATTGATAAATAACCCCCATAAGAAATGTTTCATTTAAAATATTTGCATGGACAGTGAGAATCCTGCCAGGCACATTCTTACTCCCAATATTCTGTATGCAGCTTCGACTTCAGAATAAAGGGGAAAATGAGTGGCAGGATGAGTCCACACTTTCAGATCAGCAACAAATCATCACACATGGCTCATTTAAAATATTTCATCATATTTAAGAGAAAGCAAAACCATATTTTATTGTACAGAAGCAGCTAAAAATCATATCTTACAAAACTGGGTAAACATTGTCATAAAACCTTAATTGTTGTCAAATACACAGCTATTTTCAATAGCTTCCTTGCTATAAAAAGGCTTTTAAAAATTCATCACCATTACATAACTGGACTGCTTTGGACAAAATGCAAGCATAATGCAAGAACTGAGGTGAATATAGGTACTATCTCCTTATAGTGTAACCTTGCAAGCACTGAAAAAGCAACAAGGATTCCGATCCATTTGTCAGTGAGCAGGTAGTGGGTCCAAGATACTCTTCAAGATTCACAAGACATGTTCCAGAGAAGACAATGGTTTTACTGAACTATTTCAATGATGTGATGAAAAGAATGTAATGCAGTTCACCAGAACCCTCAAACTCTGTTCCGTAATCCTAGTTGATTTTATATTTTCAGCAAACAGTTAATGTAAGAAACCTTAGCACAACGTAATATTATAAAAAACAGTCCATAGCAAAAGTCAACAAAGGTTTTGAAGGGGGAACCTGTCATTGGGGACCTTAAGCAAAAGTAGAACTGGTGACACAAACGAAGGGATGTGAAAGTTGGGAATGCCCAGGTTTGGTGTGCTTTCTAGGAGGGTTATACGGTGCTCAAAAATTCTTTCACCTGAAAAGACAAAGATGCAAGTATACCGGCTGTACACTTTGTGGATAAGGTAAAACTATTTTATCACATTTCTGTACCATCAAATAGCTGAAGCTCTCAGCAAAATGGTTTCTATTTTACAAATTCTAGCTAAAATCTCCACCAGAACATAATGAAGAATGCCCCCGTCAGCCTTTCCCCAACTTCATCATTCCTAGTCAGCATGGGAAGGATAAGAGCAGCAGTCCAATACATCTGTAGGGCACCAGTTCAGGGAAGGCTGGCATGTGCCAGATGCAAAGGGATGGACCAGAGTGCAGCTCTGCATGCATGGCCCCAGAGACCCGTAAAGATGGTGGCCAAGGATTTCTGCCTGCTAGTAGAGAGCACTTGCAGTGTCACTTGCCACTTTATTTTTAAAAGATGTGAGTAAGATTTTCAGTGGATTGGCCCCAATACTTATAACCCACTTTTACATGGGGTTCCCTGTGGTCTCACATGCAAGGACTGGGAGAGGCACTGGGAGAAAGACGGCGTGTCACAAGAACTACAAGCATCAGCTGTATGGCTGCACACAGAACAACTCCAGGGAAGTTCTGATCACTTGCCCAAAGTTGGCACAAAATCCATATGCTTAACATGGTTTAGAGCAGTGCTTTTAAAAAGTGAACCCCAGCTGAACTGCATCCTCAGATCTACAGAAAAGGCTGGAAAATGAGAGAGCCACGTGGTCCCTGCTGTTGTGAGTTTCCTTCTAAGGAGAAAAACCAAGTCCCTTCACTAGCAAGAAACCTGGTCCCGATTCTCTAACATACCTAGCTGGGGGTAAGGAGAAGAAAAGAGGTGCTGCACCTCAGGCCCATGGGCCAAACCCCACCTGTGTGGTGTTCACACAGACACTAGATCCCTGGGCGCCATTCCCTGGCCAACCCAGCTACCAATTCTTTGGTGGCTTCCTGGCTTTCCCAGTATTCCACATGTTAAATACACCAGATGTTGGCTCTGGCAGTGGGAGCTTTAAACAAAACCAGGCTGGAAATTCTTGTACCCTGGTCCCAGCCCTTTTGACCGGCCTCACCCACCACTGGAATGAGGAATGGAGGAGCTTCTTTCATATTCAATGGGGCTGAAAAAATTGGCACCTCTGCTTCGTCACTGTAAGAGTAGAGCTGTCCTGCATTTTCTATGGTAAACAAGGCAAATAAAACCTTCACCTGAAGTTAGTATTTGCTGGCAGAGTTTACCTTTTCAATCATACTTTCATGCTTATCTTTGCTGCCTTTGAAGTCTTCATTTACGTCCAGCGTTAGGACAGGTACCTCCTGCAGGTATTCAAAATCCGTTCTGTAAAGAAAACTGGACATTTGAACTGGTAAACTGGAGAGGGTAAAAGAATATTTATTACAAAAATAGAGTGAGCTCTTGAGACTTACAGTACAGCCCGATGAACATGTACTTAGTACAAGTCCCTCCGTGTGCCTAGGATTGCAAGTTTTAGCTGCTGGATTTCTAGCTGCCCACACCTAGAATTCTTTCTATACATATTAGTTAGGGTCGTGAATATTCATAACAGATCTTGTAAAATTAGTTTTGATATCTATATTCTTTAGAAATTAAAAGAGTTCTGAAAGCCAGCACAGTGCTAAAAACTGAAAGCTACAAAACTTTTGGCGAATAAATGTCACCTGGCACTTGAAAATGTGGAAGCAAAGGACCCAGTGCCATCTGTTACAGTAAAGCAAAAGAGATGGTTCTTGATTTCCTTCAGTGATTTGTGTCGTATCATTAAAACACTGGCAGGCACATTCGCTGGAAACCGACCAGGAAGAGAGAATTACCGTAATGTCCTGTGCTGCAGCCAGTTTTCATGCTTATAATGAAGTTTTTCCAGATATTCTATGGGAATGTCTTGTTCTTCATCCCTTCCACGCACATAAATCCTTTCCAAGCATTTCTGAAAATAGAAGACTGAAGTAAAAATTTCAGGCGGAAATAGAATGGAGCAGTTTCAATTATGCTTAAAAAAACATGCTGCAGACAAATGTCAGTAAAGAGCCTTGTGGCACCTTAATGACTACTGTTACTTATCTTTCTGCATCAGGAAAGGCAAAAACATAACAGCATAGCAAATCCATTAACAGAGACCCAAGAGAACTGATGCTGCAATGCATTGGTCTTGAAGATGTCACAGGACTCTTGTCCATCAGCAGTTACCTCAAGGCTGCAATCTACTTACTGGGAAGTAAACTGCATCAAACTCAATGTTTACTTCTATCCTGCGCTCATACTGTATGTAATGCTTGCAACACAACTTATGATTGCATTCTTCCAAAAAATTTGTATCTTTTCCCCTTTCCTCTAAGAAGTTCAGGATGTATGTGGTCCTCTACCACCCAACCACCCTGTAAGGTAGGTTAGCTTGAGAGAGAATGACTGGCCTGAAGTAACAGTGAAATCCATGACAATTTCGTAACTTCAGCTGACCCCAGGGCACTCACTCTTCTGCGCTGCTAACTGCAATCAAGCCAAAGCAATACTTTGTCACTCTGTCACTCAGCATTTATATGGGGAACGTCAACATGTCTCTTTGTTGTATGTGGGCTCTGCACAAATAGGTTGCATAGTAAATTCTTCCCCACTACTTGATGCACAAAAGAATCCTTAGTCACGAAGATACAGGGAGGCCTGTGCCAAAGGCAAAGCACAGCCCTAACCCTACACACACACACACACACACGCAGAGGTTGCTTTGGTCTCCGGGACATAAAGATCAGGCATGGTCCTGCTACACGTACACCAGCATACAGGTGACCAAGAAATAACACAGCTCAGATTATGAATTGCCATTTATCCCCCCACTGCAGCTTCTCCTTACTAATCCAAACAACTGATCAGGATATTTATATCTACCTAATCGTGCTAAAGTGAGAAAAAGCTCGACTGTGTTTTGCAATCATCCTTTGCAATAGGATACCAAACATACCAAAGTCTGGTTCTCACATTTCAATGTTGCCTCCTCAAGTAGCACTCTCAGGGCAAGATGTTTAGAATTCACAGAGCACTGAGCACCGTGCCTTCAAGGGCACTATGCCAATGTAAAAACATGTTCTGTGCATACGCACATTTTCAGAGATATATGGGTAGAGATCATTCTGCGAGTGCAGGGATGGGTTGAACGCAGAATGAGGCTCACTGGTGGGTCACCGAATGATTCCCTGTTGCAATAAAAGCAACCAAAGGAGTCTCAACAAAGCTACAAGAAAACCTGATCTATGGTGACTCCCATATGTATGTGTATATGCTGATCATACTAGGATAGGGCTCATGAGGTGGTCACTGCTCCACCTTCTAAGCAACCATTCTGCTCCCAGGTCCATTTGTTGGATCTTGGGTTTCATGTAAAAAACCCCAAATCCCAAAGTAGATCTCAGAAGCCTGAAGTCTGCACACACCTTAACATGGCCATGGAATTTAAGTTTTATTTCTTACCTCAGGAGTAGCTCGGAGATAAACAATGCCATCTAGTTCAAGACTTGACCCAAACTGCTGATTCATCCAGTTGTGCCAGTCCTGGTAGATTGTCCACTCTGTTTCATTCATGCAGTCAGACTCGTATAAATTAGATGCAAAAATGTATCTGCACCAAAAAAAGAAGCAATTAAGTTCAGTATTATTCTGTAATCTTTCTATACGTAAAGATGCGATGCTATTCAGGTTCATGCAGGAAACAATCAGGCCTACAATTCCCAGTATGCCCCCAGCAAACTAGGGGCATTCTGGGAAATATATGCAGCTTGGTTGTTCGTTTATATAAGCTTTTATATATCATCCTTCATAACCAAGCTGGTGTTCTGAATGGTTTACACAGTTAAAAATACAACATAATGATAAAATAACAATACAATATCAATACATTTCAACAGCAATACATTTCAGTGCCTGAACCAACAAACAAAAATAAACAATAGAAAATAAAAATAAGGATAAACAAATAAATAGTTGAATAAACAAACCACAGTTGCTGAGCAGAATATATAAAAAACAAGTAGAATAATTTATTAAAATTCATCATTTAACAATTAACATACTGAGAGAGCAAAACCTCTCTCTCACTATATTTACACTTGCATAGGACTGTGCCTTAAGTTTATTAGTTGGAGAAAGACTACAGATAGAGAACTGATTATTAGAGTTGGTGACACAATTTAACAAATTAGTGCCTGTTGAACTGGAAGCTGCGGTGAGCATTGTTTGGATAGTAAATCATAAAAACTAAGCAAGCAATGTTGCAAAGTTTTCAAAGCAAGCAAGCAATCATAAAAAGCAAGCAAGCAACATTTTGAACCGGCAGATTAGAAAGGAGAGGGACAGAGAAGGGGAACTGGGGAGAGTGTTGGTAGCTCAGTGGTTAGGGAATATGTTCCCTCTCAACATTGGTCAGAGTCCAACTCACTTCTGGAGGACCCAGAAGACCCATTTACAATGGGAGGGGTACCCACAAAACAAGAAGCAATATGCCTCAATTCTATCCATGCCAGCACCTCCCCACAAGCAGGGTGTGGAGAAGGGGTAATATCCTGCCCTGTGATGGTAGAGTTGGGGGGTGGCCAAGGAGAATCTGAAGGAGTATCTCTGCTGTAAAGCATTCCTGTTTGGACTGGTGAGTGATGGATTAAACTGGTATTGCATTTCACAGAAGAATGTTATACCATAGCACTGTACATAAAAAACTAGTCATTTTTCCTCCCTCTATCTGTGTGATTATAGAAACCGAGAATAAGATAGCTGTCAATCTACAATTATGAAGGGCCAGCAAAAGGGATCAGCAAGGACATTCCCACCTGTCACTGTAAACAGATCTCTCAAAGTAGACCACCGGGTTATCAGCATCTTTGAGTTTCCCATCAAGAACTTTGAGCTGAGCCCGGATTCTGCTCAGGCAGGCGTAGGTCTGGAAAGTGAAGGACCATCTCTCTGGTTTCCCATACATCATCTGCAGTAAGTTACCACCGCTTTTTTGTGAGGCGGACAGCTCCTGTTTAACAAAAACACAACAAGGAAAATGCCCTTCGTTTAGTGACACTTCTCTTTTTGCTGGTAATAATTTCAAGATAACACATTTGTGCTATGACAAAATGTCGTAACTTCCCATCAACTGCATTTCTTCATTTGCATTTTACAGTCTGTCAAATGCACCAAAGTGATAAGGGCAATGAAACTATGAAGGCCGTACTGGGTAATCACTACCCATTTGACCATATATACAAACCTCACCTGTGCTAACAAGAAATTCAGCAGGAGTCCACCAAAAACTAAATACTGACCAAAAAGTATTAGTGAGAAGACCTCCGTAAGAGAGATTAAAATACAGTCATATGACTGAAGACAAGCAAATAAAAGTAGCAGGAACTTTGGCAGGAAAGTGACCGTGTAACGCTTGAGTTCTTGTTTTTATGGAAAACTAAACGCTGAGTGTAGTCAGATGTGTACTCTGGACTTCAGAAAAGCTGATTTTAATAAACTCACTTTTTCCTACTCATCAGGCTTACAGATTTAGGTTGGTCACCTTCAGAAGACAGAAACAAAATTCAAAATGATATATAACAGAATAAAATTTGATGACATATGTAGCATTCTTCTTTTAGAAAAGAGAGATCAAATGCACTAGTATAAGATGGGGAATTGTCAGAAGCACGTGCTAAAAAGCTCTTAGAGCTGGAGTTGAGCACAAGCTATATGAGAACATTCTTAAACTCTGCCCAGTTTTTGATAATTCCAGAAGAGACAATGGGTCCACATACATTCCATGTATTGAAGACAGTCAGCTGCCACAGAAAACTGTTTCCCAGGAAGGCAGACATCCCGCAATTGGACATGGACCCAGATCGAATCCCACGCCAGCCAGGAAGCTCGCTGGGTGTTCTTGTGCCAGGCAGTGCGTCAACAAGCACGTGCCATCTGCTGCTTTAGAGGCTATTCTGTAACAGCTGTTCCTGATGTCCAAAAGCAGTTGGCAACCTTCCTTATGGATGGAACCCAACTGTGATGCTCAGAAATAAATTCTACTGTCCCAGCTGAAACAACGTCTTATTTCACAGGAGTTCTGTTAGCATTAGAAATTCTTTAACTTGAGCAGGTGGGCAGTGTATGCTCTATCACCTGGCCACCAGCTGCAAATAATGCTATACGCAAAATCATAATAAAATATATTTAATATTAGACATTTATAAACCACTTTTTAAATAATAGCTCAAAGATTAATGTTACAGGCAATTTTTTGGACAACAGTGAAGAGGGGAGTGTATATTACAGAGGAGGATAAAAGTTCTGATCCTACGAGTAAACATTTAAAGGGCATTTAATGCGAGAAGTCTTTTAATATTTACCCTTTTGACCACTAGAGAGCAGAACTGCTATACTCCCATAAAAATAGAGAAGTCTGTTTAAAGTGGATCTTTATTTGCATTTGAAAGGTTTGAAAGTACAGGTTTGAAATTGGGCATGATGGGAAAGGAATATGAATTTTAAGTAGTGTTAAACATAAAATCATTTTTTCTGACTCTTAAACAGGCTCCTGTAGGGTTTTAGTGAAGAAATCTAGCCTACCCCTAGAGAGTTATATGGGGCATTGTTATTCAAACAAAGCAGCCTTGCACAAACAAACTTCATTTCCATATTTTTCTGCAGTTCCTTTTTTCATACGCTAAGGAAAGCAGAGCTGTTCCATTTTTAGTCTAGAAATGTACCAAGATCTGTGAGCAATCAATGCCCCTGGGATACAGTGCATTATGAATCTAAAAAGAAAGGTTATAATAATTGATCTAGTCTAAAATATGGCAGTTGCCTATGATGAAGTGGCCGAAAAAGATATATCTACACAAAAACATAAGAAAAGTCATGCTGGATCAGGCCAATGGTTGATCAAGTCAAGCACACTGTTCACACAGTGGCAAACAAGAGGTCCACAGGATCTATCAAGCAGGATGGGTACAAGAGTAAAGGAGGCGGCGCATAGCCAGCAAGGCTAAAATCTATCAATAGTCTCCTCCTCTGTGAATATGTCTGATCCCCTTTTTAAAACCATCCAAATTGGTGGCCATCACCACTTCCTGTGGCAGTGAATTCAGTCTCCAAAAATCTGTTCCATGCTCCAGTTCCTAATCCCACATACCTCACAGTCATCTTCGCAATTCTGAACATTGCACCATCTTGCTATCGGCTCTGGAACAACTTCCCACTCCTCCCTGGCTTGTTTGAGAATATTCACAAAAGTAGACTTCCCTGCAGCTGTGAAAAGAAAGGCTATACTTACTGAACAGTATGATTCCGGCTCGCTGGCAGCCCCAGAAACTGCTATGAATTAGCACAAGCTCTGCTGATTTGCCCCATTTTGGAAGGGCTACTTCAGTTGCATTAGCATTCGTTTCTGCTACTACCACAGCAACATTGGTGTTACATTTCCTGACATTCATAATGCAGTCCCATGTTTTGATTTAAAGTAAATCCCGCAAGTTGTTGGTAATACTAATACTCACAGATCCCCACAGTACTTCACAGTATTACTTCCTTCGAATTATTCGGATCATAACTGTGCAAGTTAAATTTATGCATATTTGCATATATTAAATAGTCAGCACTCACATATGCATCCTGGGAGGCAAAAGTCTTACAACAATTTCAAATTGTTCCTTGATGTTTAGAAGATGAGGTCTTTAATGAGGCAGGTCTCCTCAGACAGCCATTTACTGATCTCAACCGACTTCCTTCAAAGTAGCTGCTTCTTAGTGCAGCCCTTTGCATCCAAGAATGCTTTGCTGTTGCTGTTAGTCGCAAAGTCGTGTCCGACCCATCTCGACCCCATGGACAGCATTCCGATGCTTACAGAAAGGCAGTCTGACCAGACTCAAAAAGAAAAGAACTTTGGAGATGGACCCTTCCAGCATTTTGCTTCTTTCTCACTTTTTTCCTCAAATGTTTATTTATTTAAACAACTTACCGTATTTTTCGCTCTATAAGATGTACTTTTCCCCCCCTCAAAAGTAAGGGGAAATGTCTGTGCGTCTTATAGAGCGAATGTGTGTGTGCCCAACGCCCGGGACGCTGCCGGCCGCCTGCACCACGCGGCACCACCTGGCCGGCACACGCTCGGCGCGCCCTGCTCCGCCCCCCTCCTCCGGCGCAGGTGAGAGCTGTTAATCACAGGTCGGTGTGTGTTTTCAAATGGCAATCCGTCTTTTAATGAAGCCCATGGGGAAGTGATGGGGAATGTGCCTGCGATTATCAGGAAGCTTTCCATGGATCAGTTACCTGTTAGTTGATCAGACACATTTTTTTTAGGATCAGTGGATATTTGAACAGCATTACCTTTGTGTATGAAGTTTATTCTTCAAAGGCTACTTAGTCCGCTGTGTGTTTGATTTACCGTACAATATCTCATTTTTTGTCAGAAGTTTTTTTCTATTATTTACTAGTAGGGCAGCATGGACATTACTGGCTTTTTTAGATTTGTTATTGAATTGTCTGCAGCAGCTCTTGTATAACTGGTGTAGATTGTGGACTCCTTCAATAGTTCCACTACTGACTAAGAAGGTGATGTCAGTGATAGTGAGCAACAGAGCGTTATAAATTCTGACTCTAGTGATGATGAGTTCTATGGGTTCAACAAAAAATAGAAGAGTACTCGAACTTTAAAGTCTCTCTTTTGTTAATGACAGTGATGATGGTTCTTAATGCCACTGTTGACTGTTGTTCACTTTACAAGGTTGAAATACAGTATTACTGTATTCTGTTACAGTTTATTAAATAGTTTAGTAAACCATTTGGTTCAGAATATTTTTTTTTCTTGTTTTCCTCCTCTAAAAACTAGGTGCGTCTTATGGTCAGGTGCATCTTATAGAGCGAAAAATACAGTATATGCCGCCCCATCACATAAGCCTCAAGGCGGCTTACAATCATAAAATCCCGCATAAAATACAAAAAAAAATCAAATAAATAAAATACATAAAATAAAATAGTGGACACAGCCTGGTCAATTTAAAATCAACAAATAAACCATTAACAGTTAAAATAGCATTTAAATAAAAGGTCTTGGCCTGGCACCAAAAAACAAATATATCCTTTCTTCTGTTATTTTGGATTTTTCTGTATTTCATTTCACCTGTGTTTCCCCTTTGTTCCATTCTCTCTGGTGACTTGTTTCCATATTAGTTCCTGTTTAAGCTATTTGTTTATTTCTTTTCAGTGCCTAAAAGGTTCCTCCTCCTCCATTTTTCTGGCTACTGCTTCTCCTTTGCTTTTCTCCTGAGGCCTCTCTCTGGAACCACCAACCGTCCACACCTCAGTTCATGCAAACACTTAAACAGAATTGGATGTTTCCCCTTTTAGAACCTTTAACCATTGATCTTTGCTGTTTTGCCTTCTTTTAAGTCCTTCCTCTTTTTTTAATAGTTTGGGGTACGGTTAGAGATTGCATTGTAAATCTACAGGCAGGGTTTGTTCTTTTTAACTTAATTACTGCATAATGCCCAGTGTGTGAGGATTTTATGAATAAGAAATATGATCACCCAAGTTTCAAAATTATGAGCTCCTTCTCTGCATTTGCTTTGCAACTCTCTAGCCCCTCCTGTTTAAAATGCATCACTGCAAAAAGACTGTAATTCACTTAAATAGGAAATGCTGTTTCTGCAATGGCATTTTAAAAAAGGACAATCTTAGGCAATCGTTTCACTGGACAAGGACAAGAAAGCAAAGTTCTAAAGAACTGATCCAACAAGGATAACTATTTTAGCAATAAGAACCTATTATATATTTATAATATTGGAGGAACACTAACATTTTGTCAACAAATGCACTTTTTAATGTTTTTTAAAAACAAACACAATAAGGGGCATGCTTCCCCTTGTTATAATTCTTCATAATCCACGTCAAAGATTAACAACCTACCACTTACTTTTATACCAATAGGGAAAATCTGACAAGTGTTTCCTCACCACCACCACCTCTTCACATCTTTTCTAACTTATTAAGCAATAAATGCAAGGATTTTTCCCATGAATGGAAGAACATGAGTACATGTGTGTCAGACATATAGACAAAACTAAATTTAGACTGACTTTCCAGGTTATTTAGCTTGTTGGGTTTACTTGCCTTTTTAAAAAAGCTCCTTTGATTAAAGTTTTTAAAGTTTAAATAATTTCCAGGCGCTAGTTTTGGCAGTCTATTGCAGAGAAAACTAACAACACATTTATGCTGACATGAGCTCTTATGGCCACCATATGTACAAAAGTCAGCTTGAAACTCAACATTAAGAAAACTAAGATCATGGCATCTGGTCCTCTCACTTCCTGGCAAATAGATGGGGAAGAAATGGAGGTAGTGACAGATTTTATTTTCCTGGGCTCCAAGATCACCACAGATGGGGACTGCAGCCAAGAAATTAAAAGACGCTTGCTCCTGGGAAGGAAAGCTATGGCAAATCTAGATAGCATACTAAAAAGCAGAGACATCATCCTGCCAACAAAAGTGTGTATAGTCAAGGTTATGGTTTTCCCAGTTGCAATGTATGGCTGTGAAAGCTAGACCATAAGGGAGGCTGAGCGCCGAAGAACTGAGGCCTTTGAATTGTGGTGCTGGCGGAGACTCCTGCGAGTCCCTTGGACTGCAAGGCGATCAAACCAGTCAGTCCTAGAGGAGATCAACTCTGAAGGCCAGATCCTGAAGATGAAACTCAAATACTTTGACCACCTAATGAGAAGGAAGGACTCCCTGGAGAAGAGCCTAATGCTGGGAACAATAGAAGACAAAAGAAGAAGGGGACGGCAGAGGTTGAGGTGGCTGGATGGAGTCACTGAAGCAGTTGGTATGAGTTTAAGTGGACTCTGGGGATGGTGGAGGACAGGAAGGCCTGGAGGAGTGTTGTCCATGGGGTCGCGATGGGTTGGACACAACTTCACGACTAACAACAACAAGACCCCTTAATGTAGAAATATCAATTCACTTCAAAGTGAAACTCAGCTTTGGGAGGGTCCATACCTGAAAAGCACCAGTTAAGTAATTATAAGAAATATAGTTTTAACCATTGCATGTTTATGTAGTTATTATACTATATCCTGCCTTTTTCCTGCAAGCAGTCCAAGGTGACTTATGCAATACCCTTCTTCATTCTATGTTCACAACAACCCTGTGAGGTAGGTTAGGCTGAGAGTCAATAAGGAACCCAAAGTTACCCAGTCTGCTTCACCGGATCCTGGAGCTCCACAGCCCAAGTCTAATACTCTAACCACTGCAGCACAAGCTGGCTTCAAAAAGCTAACACCTGAACTTTGAATTGGTTCCCAACAGAGGTTTCTTGCAATTTGTTTACCCTCCACTCCTTACAGTAAGCAAGGTGACTAAAGTAAATATATTTGTCTCAATATATATTTGCCCATCTCAGTTCCCATTCTGATATTGCCTCGTCTCAGATTTTAGATCTTCAAAGGTGCAGATACAATCGATATATGCTAAAGATTATAAAGCGTGGGGTTTTTATAAGGATTTAACAGCTTTTGATCAAGTGATGCTTAAATCAGATGAGAAAATGATTCAAAGATTATAAAAAGAACAGGTTAAGGAAACCATGATAACTTTAGCACAAAATTTTGGATATAATATTGAATTAGAAAAGTGGCAAAAGCTATGGGAGAGAAATAACAACTTCGTACAAAGAAAACTTGTATAAAATGTTTTATAGATGGTATCTGTCGCCAAATAGATTAGCTAAGATGTTTCCAAATATGTCAAATGGATGTTGGAAATGTAAACATAAATTGGGTACTTTTTATCATATGTGGTGGACTTGCGATAACCTGAAAAAGTATTGGATTAAAATGCATAAATGGCTTGAGGAAATGTTACAAAAACCTTTAGCTTTTAAACCTGAAGTTTTTTATTAGGCATTATACCAGAGGACATTAGTAAACAAGAAATGTATTTGATTTTACATGTACTCACTGTGGCAAGGATTCCATTTGCTCAACACTGGAAAAGTGAAGAACTACCCACCGATGAACTTATTCTAAAAAAGATCCTAGACTGTGCAGAAATGGATAGATTGACTTTATCATTGAAGGAGAAGGAAGATACTGACTTCTATCAAACTTGGGACTCTTTTTATTACTGGCTAGAGAAACAGGACTTCGCATAGCTTTAAATATGTTTTAAGTTATCATAAATGGAAAAAGAAGGGTGTGGGGGCTGACCCAGTGGGCCCGATGTTTTTGATGATGGATGTTGTTTTTAGTTTTTTTTTGTTTTGTTTTTTAGGATTATAATTTCAAATAAGACTTATTAAAAAAAGATTTTAGATCTTCAATTTCGCACGTGATTCTTTATATGTTATATTGGTGCACCCCTAGGAACAAAGAAAGCAAAAGGAGATGACACCTTTCCTATTCATAGCAAGCACAGCTGCACCCTCCCTGTTCCATACAGGGATGAGGGAAGGCTTCACCTGTTGGGTTTCTGCCTGTCACTGCCGTGCGGAGGGGGAAAGTGTGAAATAAGACCACCTCGCTAGCGACCACCCCTCTCCCGCCCCCCAAAAAGACCCCTTCCCACTGAGAAGGCAACCCGGCCTCAGGATGAAGAGCAGCCCCTTTCCTCACCGATGTTGCCTTCCACGGCGATCTTTTTGATGCTGTTCTCGGCCCGTCTCCGTTTCGGGGAAGTTGCCATGGACACCTCCGAACAGGTAACCGGGCGAAGGCTCTCGGTGGAACGGTGGGGCCGGAAGGACAAAAGAGGACAGAGCGCACCCGACTTCGCGCGAACCTCCCCAAGATCGAGCCCCGCGCGCGCCAAGGCACGGCCCGTATTCGAAGTTGGCGCGCGGTCGCTCGGGGTTGGCTGCGCCGCGCGGTGACGTCAGCGCGAAGGCTCCTCCCCCGCTCCGTCTTTCAGACACAGTTGCTGAGGCTTGTCTACTGATGCCCCCGAGGGTCCGAAAGCCTCTGGCAGAACGCGAACTGCCGCTCTTTTGGTAAAGAGAGGGGCCGAGCCCAGCAGCGCAGGGGGCCGATGCCGGCGTCAGTGAGAAAGGGAAGGCTAAACATATGCCGAGTGATGGATGAAGGGCAGGCTGTCGAGGTACGAGTGCCTCGATCGGCGGGATGGGGTGGGGGGGTGACCGTAAAAGGGTTGCCGCGGCAACCGAGCACATTTGCAGGCCTGTATTAATTCTCCCGAAAGCTTCTCAGGAGAAGGGAGGTAAACCCAGGGCACAAAATAACAGACAAAAGGGGAACGTGCTCCGTATTCTGGCTTCTAAAAGTGTCCCACCTAAGACGATCTTGTGCGTGTTTAGGCGGTAAAAAGGTTCTGCAGTTCCAAGCATCCCCAGTACCATGTCCATTTAAGTTTTTAGAGTAGGATCCTTGACTTGCTTAGACCCAACAGCTGGATGGGGACCGCTGGAAGTTGTGGACTTTTCGATTTTAATATATATATTAAATATAAATATATATATTAAATATAAATATATTAAATCCTATAGATAGATATTGTGTCATAAGAGACTTTTAGACCTATGTGAATAATGGAATAATGTGTCATAGGAGACTTTTAGACCTATGTGAATAATGGAAGAAAAGCCACAATACAATTTTTATCTGTGCAATGCATGTTGAACAAGGAACCTGATTATGGACACACTGGTAAGAATCATTTCCTGTCACAAGAAGGTGTCAGAGGCATGGCATCTGCCTTTATTTATGGCATTGAGAGGCCACCAAATCTCAAGTTTCCTTAGGGCACATAACTGCTAAAAAATAAACTGATAAAATTAAACCTTAAAATCTAATGCCATTACAAGAAAGTAAGTCTCACTGGAGAAGACAATCATGCTAGGGAATGTGAAAGGCAGAAGAGGAGGAGGAGGACCAGATATGAGATGGACGGACTCCATAAAGGAAGTCACAACTTTGAGCTTACAAGAGCTGAATAGGGCTGTCAAGGTCAGGAACGTTTTGGAGGGGACTCATTTGTACGGTTGCCATAAATCAGAGACAACTTGATGGCATGTAACAACAATAAAAATCTAATAACCAGGTGCCAACAGCAGATGGTAAAATCTGCATAGGAAGCTCCCAAGAGCAAGATAAATTATACAAACCTTACAAGTTCAAAAAGGCAGTGGTATGATTAGAAACACAGCAAAAAGATTAAAAGGTTTTCTCCTGGTATCAGAAATATCCCAACATTTACACCAGGCAAGCTGCTCTGAGAAAGGCATTCTGTATTTTGGGTTCCAGGGCTGCAAAGGCCTTGCTTCCTCATCACCGTACCTCATTTGGCAGAAGCAGCTCAGATATATGAGCAATCTTTCAACTACCATGGTCCCACCCATTAGGCCTTTATTAACCCCTGCACTTTGCACTGGGTCCCAAAACAGACTTCGTGTAGTTTGCTTGCCTTCTGCTCCCTGCAGCAAGTAGAACTTTGCTATTATTCTTTATAAAATGCTGTATGTATTGTGCGCTATAGAAGCAAACAGCGTGAACGGTATCCTGCATGGGGGTATGATGCCTTTCATATTTTTGCAAACAAAGGTATAGGATCCAGGCAGGTCTGAGTCCTGGCACTGCTTCAGCCATTAGGCACTACTCTGAATTGTAAAGAGCGGACGTAGTGCGATGAAGTGGTTAAGAGTGTGAGAGTGCGATTCACGTACTCTGGGTTCTAGTCCCCACTCAGCCATGGAACTTCCTGGGTAACTTCAGGCCAGGTACATACTCTCAACCCAACCTCCTTCACAGGTTCTTACTGGGAGGATAAGACTGAGACAAGGAGGGGAATTATGTAAGCTGTCTTGAGTTCCTTGTTAAAGAAAAAGGCCGTATATAAATATAATAAATAAATAAATGCTAATGAACACTCTGTTCTCACAAAGATCTCATGTCGGCAAACAACAAAGCAAATAGCTAATTCTTGGATGCAGGCAAATGAAACTAAGTGTAACTAAGACATCCACAGAAACCTATTGTCCAGTTGCCACCTGACAACCAGGCAGTTCAGGAATTCAGTGATGATGGTTATAAAAAGAAATTGGGTGGAAATTTGCTTGCATCACTAGAAATTGGACCAATACTAATGGAAAAATGGGCTTTTTATTTCTCTATCATGCTGAATCAAATCTGCTTGAATATTTATTTATTTATTTATTTATTTATTTATTTATTTATTTATTTATTTATTTCATTGCTTGATTGGCCTCCAGGTCTGTACAACTCTTTGGATATTGGTTGCAGAAGTGAGCTACGTCTGGAATAAAAGTGGCCAAGAAGAGACTTGTGGCCTGGCAGGCACAACTGGCCTTTTTGGCTATAATCCTCTCATTTTGTGATCTTCAAATCTTTGCCAACATTTCAGTGTGATAATGAAATCAAAGGACATCAGGTTCATTTAGATTTGCTTGCTGCACAAATAAGTTTACAAACTCATCGAAAATAATTACATAAAGTTATTTGTATATGGATGTTTAGATGTACACCATGTATGGATACACAATGTATGCCCATATATAAATAAAAACTGTAGGTTAGGATGAGAAAGAAAAAAGGCAATTGTGATCAAACATAGCTATTTATTTTTCTTCTTATAAACAGCATTCAGTTCCTTACTGAAAAAGCCTAGTATTTATATATTTTTTTCATCCCATCACTTACAACAATCTGTATAAAGTATTTACATCTTTCCAATATATGTGTTGCAGAATTTCAGATATTCAGCTTTTTGTAAATCAAAAGCTGTTTTCCTTTAAAACTAGCATTGATCAATGACTACAAACTGAAGTAATATTGGCACAGTCTGCTTACAGTACAGGTCTCTGTGTTGCATTTTGTATTTTAAGCCTTTTTAAAATCCAGCTACTTTGATATACTTAAAAGACACAGGAATGATTACAGCATTGTATCTCCAATACATTTTTGCCTCTGATAGACAGCCTTGCTGTCAAATTTAGGGTGACAGCAGCTATGTCATTAGGTGAGCTCAGACACGAAGGCAAACCCCACATACAGCATCAAACCAAGCACAAGGGGATCCAATCAATTAGCAGAAGCAGAGTGTAAGGATTTTTCAAATGGGGGTGGGTGGATGAGTGGGATTTCATGCTTAAATGAAACAGAACTCACCACAAATAGAAAGCCAGTCAGGAATATGGTTGAAATGTAGCCTTCTCCCCAAAGTGCTGTTTTCTTGTGTATAAGGATACAACCCACCCCACTTCTCACAACCACCAACTGTAACTTTAAACAGGACTTTCTAACAATGTTGAACTGTTCTGCTAGTGGTTTAAAACTTGCTTCATTCTAACTGGAAGCTGCGGCCCTGGCAGATGCTCAGCAGCCACTTCAAGGAACCATCCTGTACTTGTGTGTGTTTCCACCGTCAGGAGAGTACAAGCTATTTGGTCTCCTTTCCCCAACACTGAATCTAAGGCCCTGCCAGTTAGCAGGAATTAGATGGTTCTCTCCACAGTCTGCATGTACCAGGATTACTAGTAAACTTTTCTCAAGTCTTTTGGTTCTCCACTGCATATCAGAAGGTATCAATTCTGATGGCAATATTTAGCAACACGGTATCTGCGAGTAAATGTATTAAAAATGCAAACAAGTAACTTTTTAAAAGATTTGTGTTCCCAGATGATCTAGTTGCACATGTACAAAAATAATGAGTACAGTTTAGTGGCTATAAAAATCAATTTCCCCTAAAAATACAGTAATCTATGAAAAACTATTGAAAGAACAGTGCTCTTGAGGGAAAATACAAGCAAATAAAAGTATTTTATAATTTGAATTTGCAGTTTTAGGAGGGAACTATATTTTTTAAAAAAGGAAACTTCATGTGTGAATGACAGAAATAAGATACCAACTAAACTTTTACGCAGATGTAAATACCTCACTCCTAACGTGGCTATTGGTTCTAGAGATGCAGTCTAGAAAACCCAAAATCTATTAAAAGAAATACAATGTCAAACAATTATTAAGCGATATGAGAGCTTTGCAACTGAAAAACTGGCAGGTCCATCTTTATGTTATGATTTAGCAATAAGAAAACTGGCATTAACCTGTAATATAGTATTCTGGGGGGGAAATAAGAGTCTGCTGGTTTGAGATATTCCCCAAACAAAAGTGTTATTTAAAAAAAAAAAAAAAACCACACGCACAATTATATCTTCATATAGCAATCCAAGACAAGGGTTTGTGGAAATGAAATTTTTAGAAGTTAAGATTAGAGTCAATAGCAGCAAATTGGCCTTTTGCCTGTGAAGGGAACTTGAGAGAGAGATTTCAGTTCCAAAATATTAACAGAGTTTGTTTTTCTGTTTTAACTACAGATATTGAGAATTGTACATTGCATAGTAAGCAGTAAAAGAAAACTTGACATGAACTTGCAAAAAGACTACCTGTCCTTTGGAAAGTTGGTCTCTCTAAAATCCAGCTACCACTTAACAATAGAATGTGGGACATTTTTATACTTATGCAATTAGCATGGATCCCTGATGTGAATATGCAAAGCCAACATACGATTCCTGTTGTAATGCTGAAGTTTTGTCCTACCAATGTAAAATCCTCTAAATCAAATCAATGACTGGCCCAAGAAAGTATAACACTACTGGTTTTAATGGACTTGCATCTACTTTTGTGATCATTAGTAGTGCCCAGGGTCATGAAACAGAGATCAATTACCTCTTGAAGTTTATAACTACATCACCAAGGACCAGCAGCTGAAATAAGGGCAAAACTAGTTCAGCCTTTTGAAGCTCTAAGGCTCTTCCTTCACTGTGGAAGGAAAATGGTGTTAAGAAATGGCTGGCTGTGAGTATAAAATCTGTTCCTAGTATTCACCAGGCCTGAATATCCAATGTTTGATATAAAAAAGCAATTCAGTATCAAGCAGTGCATCTCATTAAAGTTAAACTCTAGATCCAGATTATATTTTTGTTTTTTTTTAAATGATAGTATAATGTTCAGCTTTCAAGATCTTTGTTCTGCTGAAAAATAAGGAAACTTTTAGATTTGCATTTTAATATACCCTCAAACAGTGAATAATTTTCCCACCAAAAAATGGACAGTTCTCAATGCAGTACAAATAACGAATATTCATATTACATTGTCTTCATAGTCCCAATGCCTTTGTCTTGTTTAATGAAATCAGAATTTAACCAACAGCATTATCAGACAATGATCTCCAGTATTTTAGTTTCCAATAAGAAAATCAGCAATTAAACCAACCAACACTTTTTACTAAATACTTTTTTCAATGAGTACTTGAAACTTAGTACACCCTGTTTGTATTCACTAGAGTCCCTAAAAGAATGTTATTTCAAGAACAAAGATTGTGATATACTATGACCAAATCTAAAAATATATATTTTAAAGTTCCTAGATCCAAACATATTTCTGCAGGAGATGTGGTAGGATTATTTTTTCAATAGGCATCCATTATGAGCAATTAAAATTGCTAGATGAGGCTTTGGGGCATTTAAGTAATAATTGGCACTACTTGGACTTTCATTTTTCAGAACTGTGAGCCAGACTTCTAAATGCAAGTACAGACAAAAGTGGCATGTGACAAAGCATGTCAGGAGTGGTATTAGATACTATCCAAATTCCAGATTATTAATTTTACTAGGTGTGCATGCTGAATTATAAGTCTATATGCAATCTACATATAGATTGTATAAACTACAATCAAGCGGTACTTATATTTTCAAGGCCAAGAGCATGAATTCAATAAATCAGATAAAGTGATGAGGGCAATTTGTTTTTCCCTTTATAACTGAATTATTTATAACTCAAGGCCATTATCATGCTCAAGAACATGCTGCAGACCTATAGAAGTGCTTCAAGCACACTGCATCCATACAATCTCATAGAAACTGGAAGCATATACTGTGCATAAGAATTGTGCATATACCTATAATAAGTGGTCATCATGGTGCTAATATGGGAAGTGGGCTTCAGGTCCTCCAGAATGAAGACCTTTTCTACACCAATTCATTGCTTTCACTCAGTCTATGCAAATTGTGTTGCAAAGGGTGAAAGTGATTATCCTTTAATACTATATGCTCAAACAATTCGTACATTTCTAATGTCCAGTCAGATGTGTTTGTACAAAGAACTCTGAATAAAACCTGAGATTGGTACTAAGGTGTAGGAAACAGAGATGGCTCACAGTTTCAGTTTCTCAGAATGAAAAGTCCTGAGTTTCACAATATCTTATCACGAACATCCCCAAGCAGTGGTCTATACTAGAAGACTGGTCAAATGATACTGGCTCTTTTCCTCAATTCAAAGGAAAAAAAATTGAGGAAGGAAGAATGACAAGTTACATCAAAAATAAACCAAGTCATCTAAACTGCACCTAAAAGCAAGTCGTCAAAATGCAACTGTACTCTGTATAGGAAGAGTTATCTAACACAGACCGCAAAGGGACTGTGTGCTCAGGAAGAATGTGATGACAAGGCCTCCACATCGTAACGATGGATTCAGGCAATTTATAAAAAGATCTGAGGAACCCATGGAACTTAGCCGAGCAGTCTTCCAGGATTCAAGTAACTATGGTGGACTGGAAAGTTTAAAAAGGGCTCTTTATTACCATTACTGGTGTTCCCTGTGATTGACTTGGCCCTTTGTTATCTACTTGATGCTCCTGGAAGATGGCCAATTTATTGAATAGGAAAGCTTACAGTATCGTTTGACCGGCACTGACCCTTGGAATAAACATGCTGACTGATCTAAATGAACTTTAACGCTTGCAGAAAAAATATAAGCAACAAAGCAAGTGGTTAACCCCATGTTATCCTTGGTCCTCCACAGATGCAAGACTTACTGTGTGGGTTTCTGAGCAGGAAATAAAAAATGAGCCCCCCTCTCTCATGCCCCTTCCATAGCCCTCATTCATCACTAAAGGCTTTGCTTTGTATTAAAAGCTGGAGATCACCGACAGAAGTTATGGCTTTTTAAAAGTTTTACACATATTTATATAACAAGTGTTAGTAAATGTCCTGGGTAGCAATGTGTGTTTTCTTTTCCAGCAATGTTCTTTGTATGTGCTTTGTACCTCAGAAGAGAGTCTGCCAAGGCACTTAGAGAAGGTTACGTCTCTTTAAGGGCTACAACTGGCAATGCAGAACTCATACAACCAGCAGTGTCACATTTCTCAACAAGCATGTTTTTTTTTCCTTTTATAAACACAAGACATCTGCTTTAAAAAGTACACAATGAACAAGAACAGAAAGCCATTTACTGTGTGTCTCACTAAAAGATAAAGGAGTTCTTCTAATAAAAGCACAGAGAATGGATCTAGGCTGCCCAAATAAAAACAGAACACATTTCCTTTAGTTACTAAAACCAAAAAATTAAAAGGCTGCAAACCTCCACACACTCAGGCATAGGTCCCACAGATCACAATTAGTATATAAAGGATTGCAGCCCAAATCCCTAAAACTCCACACGCCTGTTTAAAGAAACAAGTGATTTGCACAAATCCATTTCTGCTTATCTGTCCTTTGAAGTGAGTTTCTCAATCAGTTCTTGGAGTGGAGCAAGTTCTCTTCTGTCTATAAGGTTAAATTCCTGGCGGAGACAGAAAAAAAGCCAACATATCAGTTAGATATTTAATGGAATAATCGTTATTAATGGTCATATTTTAACTGAAAGAAAAACAACAGGCTGCATGAAATGGTGGATTATGCCAGAGAAAAGGAGCCCACCCAGCAAGGTAAAACATAAACAAGGGCAGTGCCAACCTAAACCGCTATTAAGGGACCTGAAGAAGGAAGAGATACCAAAGCTCTCTGCACAACAAATTGTAATGGGAAACATTTCCTCAAGCATCTGCTACTGTTGCAGAGGCCAGAACAGAATACAGAAGGTACCCACCTCACTTCTTGAGGCATGTGCAGATGGTCACACTTCACCTCTTTTCAGTGAGATGAGCACCAGTTCCATAAGCTAGAGCTCTAGAATGTCCGTAAACTGCAGTATCACAACTTGAGTAAGGTTAGCATGATCACAGAATTAAAGTAAGTCATGGTGGCTTCTTTTCACTCACCACATATGCTAGTTACAAGCTAATTAGCATAATTACCCTCACTGAGTGCAGGTTCTTATGATATCAGAACCCATGAGGATGGGTGGCTGGAGTAGTTTACAAACCATGCTATAATTACGTAGGAAGAACCATGGCTTTCCAAATGGACCAGCGTGCATGGGGCAGAAAATGAGCTGGTACAGATTGTTTACCCTCTATAATATGCAAACCCACCCACTGCAACAGATGGCCTTAGAGGAGGAATCCTAAAAGTTTCAGTTTCCCAAGGAAGAAAGCAAATTCACAGTTGCTTCATGGCTGTGGAGAAGAGCTACAGTTCCATCCATCACCACAATGTTTCTACTATACATTTCTTTTAAAGTGTGATTCTACAACACAGAATTCAATTGAGGATGGAGCACAACCTACATGCCATTACATTATCACATGGTGAAGGAGACATCCCAGCAAAGTAGACTATCCAGTGCTTCAACACGACAAGCGCTAGAAAACAGAACTGTTTTCCACCTTGCAGAGCAATGGTACATCACTGTGACCCCTGTGCTTATTTACCTGAACAAAAAAGATAAAGTGCTTGAAGGATGTGTTGAGATGTGCCTCTTCTTGAAGCTGAATCACTGGATCAAAGTGCTGGTGATAAATGTGAGCGTAAACTCTGAAGAGACGCTTTAAGATGGTCTTGGCTACTGACATGAAGTTCTTTGGGAATGGGACACCTACAAATCAACAAATCAGACCTTCAGTTTTAACACTGTATTCCTACACAGAACTACAGCCTAATCGCGTGCAGGTTTATCATCTGGTTGACAGCTTCTTGCTTCAGTGCATAAACAAAAGTCCAGGACATTGGAACAGTTGGTACCTCTTCCCTCGAGACACTCCTGCAATGAGCACAGGAAGCCCGCCATCAGGGCCACAGAGTTCTTGAAAGTCCCACTATGGGTACTGGGAGAGCTGGAAAGTGACTTTCTATACAGAGTTTTTTCCACCAGTAACCGAAAAGATACAGACAAGACAGCCAAAACATTCAGTTTCCTAAATGCTTAGCCTGAATAACATGGATCTCCGGTTATCTATTTTTAAGATAGTCAATCCTGTTAATAAAGCTATAATTTTAGGTGGTTGAAAGCCTCTGGATAGAGCCTCAAATCTTACAGAAATGCAATTGCACACATAGCAAGATTAGAGATGTCTGAAATAAAGTATTAAAATGTAAAAAAATCTGTTTATTGCCAGTTGGGCAAAATAACAGGATGTTATTAAAAACTGACAAAACCCAATATGTATATGTTCCACTTTAGCAACCATCCATGAAAAACTGGTGAAAGCTAATGTTTTTAGAATGCAAGCCATTTTCTTGGAAAAGAACAATGTATTGCACTGATGTGGAAAAAGGCGTAACCCAAACAATTATTTTGAGAAAACAATGAAAATGGTGTACATATGTGCAATAGAAACCCAGTGTTCCACTCTCCCCACAAGGAATATATTTATTTCCTAAAACTGACTGATTACTAAATATAGTCAGAACATGTACAGTAGTGCTCAAATGAAGTGGTAATTGTATTTTCCTTCATTACTGCTTTTTCTCTAGGATGGAAAAGAAATGCCATTAGAATTAGAGTAAGCACTGAAAATATCATTACTTACATTGAAAAAGCTTTTCCTGTTAATGAAGGATTGCTGAAAATTATGGGCCATATATTGGGACATTTTTGGTGCAATGTTTAAATTAGTGTTGGGAAAACTGCCCAACTTTTAAAAGCTACTATTTATGCTTGTTATATATCTGAGAATTCTGTGTGGACTTTCCTCAAGACTGAAGCCTTTGTTTCCTTCTATGCCTTTAGAAAGAACTAAAATGTCAAGCCTTCATGTTTGGCAATATTCCAATTCCATATTTTAAATTTACCGATTTTGGATGGAAACAGTGTCTCATCATCCAGCTGATCTTGAACCCAGGTCATCAGGTAATCAATGTACTTTGGTGCTGAGCACTTGATTGGCTTCTTTATGTTTGTCCCATCTGCCCAATGGTACTCGTATCTGGAATGGGACAGAAATGGAAGATATGAACCCAGATTTATGAGTTCATGCACTAAGCAAATGACATTTTATTGTGTTTTCAACAGATTATGGTGGGATACAAAACCTCTTTCATTGATGCTTATGCTGGTTTTTCTTTGTTCATACCACAGACCACTATTCCTCCCCATCCACAAGTCCCCTCAGTTTCAAAAGCAATTTGCTATTTGGCAGGAGGCTTAGCTGCATATGAAAAAGAAGCAGGAAGTTCCTCTGGATATGCAGGACAAATTTTGCCTATCTTTGGATACCAGCTATTGAAAATAAGAGCTAATATTTTACCTGGGACAGAATATTAAGATAAAAGCATTAAGGGCTGGTGTCATTATGAACATCAATGCTGGGGTTAGGGTACTTGATCATAAGGGTCAAGGCACTAATCACACCCTCAGAACTCTAAAACAAGTGCAAATAAATTATTTGCCTGATAATTGCACAGCTAGAGCATTGCACCTAATCCTGCTGTGCAGACTCTCCAATTCTGATGTCATGATGACCCACTTTTCACTTTCATTTACAAAGCAATAGCTACAACCAGCAGATACTGCAGTAAAAAGAATGGTAATGCTGATCACAAGGCCATGACCAGCTCCCTGCCCCCTTCAACCACCTCTATTTTAAGAGTCTCTATTCAGACATCCCAAAGAAGCAGTTATTAGCCACCGTGAACCTATCCATGACACATCCTGTTTTCTATAGTGTCCCACCTAACTGCAAAGTTTGTGCTTGTCTTGTAGATTTTAGCAGGATGGGAAGTTTTGACTAAGTACATATGAACAACTAGATTCAAAATAAAATAAAATTGCTGTTATGTATAGATATACAAAATTATTTGTTTCACAGGTAAATCGTATGTTTACTCACAATTATTTTCCTTCTGAATGTTGCTGAGTTTACTTCCCAAGTTTCATAGGAAGGAAAAAGTTCCCTATGAAGAAAAAATTGTCATCCCCACCTCCCTACCTCGTTAGACCCATCTAACCCCTAAGATTTACAGAGAACATTTCTCAATAACATTTCGAGACCTCACTGTCACCAATCCCTTCCTAAGCTGAGAGCAAGATGATAATTGTGCTATTTAAAACACAAAAATCTGATATTTAGTTCCCATTCTTTGTAATTGAATCTCATTATCCTGAGAGCTTCTCTCTGTATTTTTCAGATACATTCAACACACAGATGCATGTAAATTGTATTAATGATGAGGTTATAAGTTAAATAAAATCACTCCAGCCATTCCTTCATTAAATATTTTTGACAATGTAGCACCTTATGTACATCTATTGTACATCTACTAATTCGTGTCCTTCCCCTTAGTTCTAAAAATACCAGTACAGCTCTACCCTGATAGAATATGGACAGTTTAAAATAATCATACTGCAAACAGCTGAGCAGAAAAATGAAATGTAAGTGGAACAGTAAAAGCCACACTTACATTGCAAGCTTTAAAGTCTGGGCACCAGTCCCTTCCCATCGGCTGCATTTTCCACTTAAAACACAGCAAGATTCTATAAAGTCCCATCACATTGTTCCTTTGTCTTGTATGGAGCAAAATGACTTCAGGTCAGCACACACTTCTGAGCTAGCACTCTGTTTCAGTGCATGTGTGACCCAGAAAATTGTAATGACAGTGTTTTAAGAATGCTTAGTTCTTAGTTAGAAGAATGTGAATTTTCAGTTCCTAGGAATAACACGTGATGCTCCTTTAGAGCAAAACCAACATCTATATTTGTGCCCATAATGATGAAAGATATAGCTTGTTAAAATGCCTGTTACTTCTACAAAAGAGGGGAGATTAAAATGGTAAAGACCACTCCAAAACGTATTGGTTTTATATCAATACTCAGCCTGAAGGCCTACTTTGGAAACATACCTAACTGTGACATTAAAAAAAATCATACAATCACCTGAACAAAATTTCAAGGATTACAATGAATGTCAGTCACTTGTTTCTGAACACAAGAAACTTGTTTGGCCAGAGACAGGCAATCGTTCCTAGGAATCTGAAAAGCAATTTTTTCACTGAGCAGATGCCCAGGCTTATTATTAATAGTGTTATCTGCCTCCAAAAGATAGCCATTTTTAGGACCAGTAGGTGCAATAGTAGAGCATCTAGAATAGTAGGACAGTGATTCTAAAACTGCAACTTGCCCTCCAATTCCAACACATCTCAAATTTCTCTCCCTGCCAACCAAATATCCTTTCATTAGTCTTGTCATCACCTGCTCCAACTGCCAGTTTTCTACTAGATACACCTGCCAGAGTGTATGTTTGTTTGAACTTTTTGTTGGCCTTATTATTATCCATAGTTAATGCTAACCACAGTGTATTACATTAATCCTGACTAAATCCCAAACATAAAGCAGAACCATGTTTTAGCTTGCAAAGCTAAGTCCTGCCTATGGAAGAGGCTACACCCTGCCTATGCAGAGACATACCAGCAAAACCTGCATGGCACCTTTCAAACAGTAAAGATGAGAGGCAGGGAAGCCGCCTTTTTGTCTAATCATATGACAACGGGAAGTCTCACCCATTTCAAATAAAATTTCTCCCAAGTTAAGTGTGCACAAATTACAGCCTTAACCATGGTTTGCAAACCCACTTCAACCCAGCTTTAACCAGTTTGTAAGATTTGTGGCTATTCCTTCACTTAAACCACAACTTCAGGCAAAATGTTTAACCAGTGTTAAGGGGAATTATTAAAATTTTATGCGTGCATTGGGTTCCAAGAAAAATCCCAGCTCAATGGCAGGGCTAAAAAGGTGCTGACAGAGTAGATGACCATTGCTTTATGGTTGTGGTAGCATCCTGGCCACAGTACTATGATGGGGAGGCAGCACTATTACTCTGCAACAACCTAGTTAAAAGTAAAAAAAACTGAAATGTGTTTTCATAATCTATGTATGAACTGATTTTTAACCAAGTAGGGTTTTCACCACTGACAGTAAGGAACAAGTGATCATTAAAAATATTCAGAATAACAAGCAAGTGGAAACAGGGAAAAAACGTTGTTTGTTAATACACAGTGCTCTGTTTAATATTGTTCTCCTATTGGAATGACACTGGTTAGCACTGGGCAACAAGAGGACACTGAATCAAATCCAGTTGGCTAGGTATTGTTAAACTCTAGTTCCCAGCCTCCAGGAAACAGAACAATGCCTAGGCACTGCCATTTGTGGCGGAAAGATTTTCCAAAGGGCCACACTGGGTAGGTATGCATCTTTGCTTTAATTAAAAATGCTTTTCTGGTCTCATGGCTGTGAAGATGCGTTTGAAAAAGTCCCACACCTAGGTAGCAGTTGTAAAGCTTTGCCGTATTTTTTCATCCCTCATGGCCTTCACTTCCTATTGCCCTGCTCTCCCCCCTCTCCCCAGCACAATCAAGTTCTGCAAAAACTCAACCATCGGTCCCAAAGCACAAGGATGAAAAATAGACAAATTCTTTCTCTTTAACAACACAACACTATACACCATGTATTCTCTCGTCGTTTCACTGTCACAGTTTAGCATAACAAACATTCTTACTTTGGACCAGCAGACATCACTGGGCAGCTCTCTTCTGTGCAGAAGTCTGTTATTGTCCCATAAAGCATGTTAATCTGGTTGAAGAAGTCCACAGCTATTTAAAAAGAAAAGAAAAACAGTGACGAGTTTCATTTAGAAGGTAGCTGCCAAACTCTGCAAAAATTATTTTCTTCTGGACTGTATTCTGCTAAACTGGACTGTACTTTGCTAAGCAGCACACACAACTTCTCAGAAATATTAGTCAGTTGTGGTTGATATGTTGATTTATAAAGGAAATGGTCATCAGAAAGTAGGCCAGATTTTCAGAAGGCAGTCTGAGTTGATTAGCCAGAGGAAAGTTTAATGGATAATTCAATTAATCTATTAAAAGGGCAATCCTGTGGTCCCTGGGCAAGAATCCCAGAGACCATAGGACTATTTAGAGATTCCCTGCAACCAATCCATAAGGATACAAAGCTATCACTATAAAATGAGGTGCTGCCCTTACACTATTCTTGCGAGTTTTCCATCTATTTCTCTACAGAATTTAATGTGGTATTCAAAATGCTGCATCACAAAGAAAATCCTAAAAGAACCCTGATGGGTTCCTTGAATAGCAGCAGCCAAAAGAATCAACTCCAATATAGATACTATCCAAATTTGGGGGCAGGGAGCATCTTTGGGAGAGGAAAAATATGAATGACAATGTTCCCTTTGAAAGTAATCAAGTCTATTCTTGCCCAGTGTCTGGAATCTCTATGTTGGTTATTTCAAGAAGCCATTTACAACTTGCATTTGAAATATGTCCTTGAAAACACAAACAGCTGTACAATCAGTCTTCTGTTACTTGGGCTGCAGACACAACAGCGTCACCAAGAGTTCTGACCTTCCACTGATGAGTCTTGTGATGCCTTGGAAGCCCGAGTATAACAATTTCAATGCCACCACCATTAACTAATATTCAGATTATGTCCTTAATTCAGCAAAACAGACACTGCACCTCAATTACATCCCAGAAACACCAGATTTACACTTCCCAATTCTGCACTTAATCTTAGAGATATAAAAGACAAACTGAATATTCTATAAACTATTCTCAAGGGATTTATAGATCACTGCTGATATATATGTCAAAATAGCATTTTTATCATTGCCACATTTGAAAATGCTAAACTACTGTAAAGAAATTCTGCATTTCTTTGGGGAAATAGACAAATTTTATGGTGTATACATGAGTAAATTCTCAGTTTTGTCTGCAAAACTGTTACCACATTCATATATCCTGGTAGTTTAATAACATCTGTTCAGTGTGTAAAAAGGAAAGGAGTTAAGAAAAGTAATGAGGAATACAGACTCCTGCTCAAGAAAGACCATACAACTCTACTCCTAACTCGTTGTTCATGTGAACACTAACAGAAATGTAGCATGCCTCTGTACACTGAGGGGACATATATTTCCCCCCTATAAAGCAGAACACACAAGATCTCTGGGATAGCCTCACATGATGTCACTGAATTCCATGGGCATCCTTCTGGGAGGAAGATACAAAAAATTTTAAATCACACTCCTATGTAGGAAAAGTATGTACTCCTATATATAAAAGCTTGCATAAGCAAATAAGTAAGACATGCCTTCCCGCCTAGACTTCTGTAACGCGCTTTACGTGGGGCTTCCCCTGAAGACAGTCCGAACACTTCAATTGGTGCAAAATAGAGCTGCCAGGTTGCTGACGGGGACGGGGCGTTATGCTCACATGACTCCAGTCCTCCATCAGCTTCACTGGCTTCCCATTGAAGCCCGGGCCCAATTCAAGGTGTTGATTATGACCTACAAAGCCCTAAACGGCTTGGGTCCTGGCTACCTGAACGAGCGCTTACGTCCGTATATGCCTGACCGCCCTTTGAGATCTGCGGGAGAGTCCCTTCTCCGGGAACCCTCCATGAAAGAAATTAGGAGAGTAAGTACCCGGAGGAGGGCTTTCTCTGCGGTGGCGCCCAACCTATGGAATTCACTCCCCAAAGAGGTCCGCCTGGCACCGTCGTTACTGGTTTTTCGGCGCCAGGTAAAGACCTTTTTATTTAAACATCATTTCAATTGTTAAAGCATATGATCTGGCCTGGGCAACTTCTTCTTCCTTCTCTTTCTCCTCCTATATTTTTATTTTATACTGATAATTTTAATTTTGTATTTGTAAATCAATGTATTTTTTGTATTGTTATATTTAATGGTAATTTATTATGTACTATTGTATTTCAATGTATTTTATCATGTTGTAAGCCGCCCCGAGGTTTCAGCAAGGGGCGGCATAGAAATGTTATAATAATAATAATAATAATAATAATAATAATAATAATAACCCTGACATGAGTAACAAACAGTGTTTGCCTTTGTCCATGGAAATGCCACCACTGATTGTCAAGGGCAGAAGCAAGCGCCATATAACCTATGGATAGCAAGTGGGCCATGGGCTTCTGCTGCCACGCTTCTGGTCCTTAAGGCTGTGGTAATATATTTGAAATACTCTGTAATTAGAAAGCATTAAGGACCCTTCTTTCATTGATGTTTAAAGCTCATACTTTCCAAAGTTCCTAGACAGCTGCACGGGATTAAGGTGTTCACTAGTTAAATCCCTACAAAAATTGTGATTCCTCATCCCTGCCGCCCTCCATTCAGCTATTCTTAAGTAGCTCATGTCTAAAAGCTCCTCCTAGCAGGAACCAGTCAGCAAAATGGACAAGCAGGAGCTGCACGCTCTTTGCCATGACTCCTGGCACAGAGAAGACATTCACAGGACCAGAAGTCGATCAAAGCGCCCAAACGTGTCAGGAGCCAACAATGCTAGGGAAGGTGGGGGGGGGGGGGAGAGACTGACTCTAACATGTTTCATTCACAGTCCTCCCCACTAAGAAACTGGATGCCAAAAGATTCACTGAACCCCAGAGAGTGGCAGAGGTTGCAGGGTTTGGTTCTCTCTGTGATCCCAGAAAGTCTATGGTTCCAGAGCACCTTCTGCTACAAAGTCCTTACACTCCACAGACTGAGTTATTTCATCCATACTGCACTATACCACAAACTGAAATGTGAATCTTTGCCAGTCAAGGCCACCTGGGTGGCCTTGGATACCATTATCTTTCTATTTCACTTCCCCATTTGTAATACAAAAACAGGAATGTTGTTAGTGGGCTAAAAGCTGTTCAATAAAATTATCTTGTGGTTTAGCTGAACTGCCTTTTGTCAGGCTTTGAGATTAATGGCAACATTTCAGATCTTAGGCTGGCAGTTGGAATTAGTGTCATTTGCTGGCTAGACAAATGATTTAAACAAAAGCTGGCAGAATGCTTTCTGGGAGCTAAAGTTGGTGTAAAAGAGGAAGTGTTGTCTATGTTGAATGTGTCCATCCACTCTCACATCTAGTGAACAGGTTCTGACCAGGTTCTTTTGCAGTGTTTCAGAAAACAATTTGCAGAAACTAGAGGCAGTAGTAAAACAAAGTACACACGACAGATAATTATACCTATATCAAACTATTTGTTACTCATTTTGAAAACAAGTATTGGTCTCCAGATTAAGAGGACAAGCACAAGATCTTGGGCAAAGAATTGCAGTTGCTTGCTATCATTACATTCCCACCCATAGCCAAGGTTCTCCAGGTAGTTCACAACCCATCCAGATCCCAACCAGGCCTGCCTCTGCATAACTTCAAAGATTGGGCACTTCAGGCTATACAAAAGCTACCTAAGACAAGCTTACAAAACACAATTCAAGGAGACGGGAAGGAATCTATGATGTTCATCTCATGAAATGTTCAAATCACATAATATTTCAACATTAAGAACATAAAGATGAATTCTGAAAATGTCATAAGGAAATCTCAAAAGACCTGAGAAGAAACCCTTCTGTATGCCTGTGCATATGTAACATGTGCCTAATGATGACAGACAATGCAGGTATTACCTTTTCTGTGCAAGCATTGTCAAAATTGCTTCTCTTTCACTCTCAATCCTTATCACTGTTGTCTTGCATTATGGAATTATTATGTTGGTACTTTCAAGTGTTCAAACACCTCAGTTTCTGTTTTCAATTCCTGCAGTAAGCTTCTAGCTGTTAGAACAACCTGTAAGTTATCCAGTATTAATATCACCCCCAAATTACAGATGAAGGGATGGACTGCTGAGATTGAAAGAGCACAGCTTGCTTAAGGTACCTAGTCAGTTCATGGTGGAGGCAAGGTTCAAACCAGGGTATTTCTAATTTGGAACTCAATCCTTCAACACAGGTTTCCCAAATCTGGTACTCTCCAGATGCATGACCACTCCCAACATCCACTGACCATCGAATATGTTTTCTGGGACTGATGGGGGTTGCAGTCCAACAGATCTAGCAGGTACCAGATTGGGAATGTTACTTTAGCCATTAGGTTGTTCCAAGATATATATTTTAAGTGCTTTATACTAAATTTTCCTTTCACTTTTTGTCAAAATATTTTTCCACAAAAGCAACAGACTGTTTATTTTAAAAACTGCCAGGCATGTCTGTAGAACAAAACAGCTGCAGCTGGAATGTGAGCAAGTTCAACCTACTAGGCTCTTATCATCTTTCAATGTTTGCTAAAAACAGAAAAGGCATTTCTCTCAGGAAGAACAGCTGAAATGCAAAGAAACCGCAACAGAAAATCTCCAGAGATGGTGGCAAGTCTTTCGATCTCTAACACTCCCATTAAATAAACTGTAAATCCACAAGTTATGCTCAAAAACAGACAGCCCAAATGAAAGCAAATGCTGCTATACTCAAACTCACACAATTTGTGACCCATCAAGTTGTACACAAACTACCAGGGGTATACTGCAACCTACCAAGACCTTGAAAGTGCACCCCCCCCTTTTTCCTGCAGTCCCAGGAGAGTAAGGAAAACAAGAAGTGCATCAAGTCCTTGAAGAAGTCCATTCAGAAGGGTGGGTCCCAAGTTGAGCAGAGCTCTACTATATACACATTATTGGTAGTCAGGCACTCCCAAGTGCCAGGTCAGAGAACAGTGCCGGCCGCTAGCCTGCTGGTGAGGAGACCCATGAGTTATGCTGTGCTGTAGAAAGTAAGAAAGAGGAGGCTTTTCCCAGCAACAAAAACAGTTCTCTGCTCTCTTAACTTCTGCATGCTCAGCCAAATGAATGACTCTCTCCAAGCCCACAAAAGGGCTATGGGAGGAAGAGATTATTGCAACTGTAAATAATGGTTACTTAGTAAACCAAACGAACATTAGTATACTCCCCTAACAATAGCTGACAGGAAAATTGAAAGCACATGCTTACCACATGCGCACACGTTTCTCAGCCAATCCATCTTGCCCACCTGTTCCTATGTTATGCCGGAGACATGCTGCAGTTACACTGCAGTTACCCTGCATATAGTCTTTCATCCTAAAATTAATTATTCTTTTCATTGTGGAGATAGGTTTGCAACTTCCTAAAAATAAATGTAAATTATCCCCTGACATGCTTTTATTTTTTCAGTTATGCCAAATCTCTTTATGCAGACTATCTTCTTAAAAACAAAAAAGCCCTTCTCACCAATCCTTTGGTTAGCTCATATCAGTGCTCCAAATCACACAGAAAAAAGCTTACTTACTGTTCACTGCAACCCATTCATTTAGGTCTTCGCCCTCAGGTAGCATGACAGCCATCCGCAGGTTGCCACTTCCAAGAGTGGCCTCTGCATGTTTCAGCAGCTCATACTGGTGGGAGCCTTCAGGGATATTCTTCTTTGGTTTGAAAGTTTTAGAAGAGCGGCTACTACTGCAAAGAATGAAAATATATTTGGTTCGGAGAAATTTGCAAGGAGGAAAGAAACCATTTTATGATGCTTCCTCTTTCCCAGTCTTACTGTAGAGACTCTTGGGTTAAAATGTACTTCCCCCATTATAAACTAGAAATAGGGGTTATTAAGAGAGACTTGGGGAAGAGAAGACTGTTACAAGATTAATTGGTTCTATACCCTGAGGCAGACTATACTTTCTTATCAGATTCCACCCTTAGGTAAGCAGAAATTTACATAATACTAACTTTCTTCTCCCATATCCACAGCTGCACAGGAGTCATGGCTCCATGCTGTGATTCCACATAGGGTGCTGATTGAGTGGAATGATCCGTATGATCAATTCTGTCTCTCTGGCTGCCCTGAAATGTGCCAATGGGCTATGACTCCTGTGCAGATAAGGCCATAATCACAATCACTTGTAGCTGACATCCATCCATTCATTTACGAAATAGAAAAATGTGCACAGAAGATTAAAGCACTAGAAAAAAATCCATTTTGGACAATTTTCTGCCCCTATCACAGGTCGTCACTCTGCATACCTGTCTCTGGGCATCCAACCACCTCTGCGCATTTTCATTTAACTGCACACATTTGTTTTTGAACAAGATGAATTTGATGGATTTTCAGTCACAGAATTGTGAAATAAATGCAGGTTATAAACACATGCAGCAATCACGATGTGCCCAAAATTATACAAATAGTATGAAACTTGGAAAGACTGCTTCACAGTGGCATGAATTAGATGGACTTTTATGTTAGCTTGTATCTTAATCCTCCTTTAGGCAGTTCAGACATATGCAGGGCAATATTAGAGAAGATGACATTAATGCCATTAGCAACGTGGACACTGGTAGAAGGAGCAAGAGGCCTTTAACCAGACCCACTGCAGTTCCACTCTGCGGCTGCTTGCTTGGACCTGCCATTTGCACTGGCATAACAGCTCTCCTGCTAGATTGCAGGGGCAGGCGAATCAGAATCAGCACGGCAGTATTCGCAAAGGGACAATCTCTCTCCCCTGCATGCCAGGTTCCCCTTTTGCCTGCATTAAAAAACGACAATATTACTGTAAAACTCCACCCTATCTTTAGCTTCTTGAATTTAAACCTCCTTTCTAAACTGATTCCTCCTTATGGACCTCACCAACCCAGCAGCAGTCTTCTGACTGACAGTGGAACATGAAGAAATCTTTTGTTGGTTGCTAGCATACAGCTTCCTACTGCATAGAAAAATCTGTGAACAGGGGTGGCAATCCTTCAATGGGGTTAAAAAGGAAAAAGGAAGGATTCCTGACTCCTTTAACTGTTGACACTGTAAGAACATGCTGACAACACCTTTTTTTCCCCTTGTAACACTGGGGAATACGAACAGTTAACAGTAAGACAAGGCTCGGCCAGGATATATTAATTCTTTCCAAAAATTGGAAATATTCCCATCATTTCCCTTAACTCTGAAACCTTCTCCAGACACTCCACTTGCCCTAAAGCTCCCCCCTTCATCATTTGAAAACCAAATGATTATGCTACAATAAATCAATTAACCTAGAGAATGCCCTGAATGAATTCATTCTTTCATTCAAGTCTCAGTCTGTGTTTAATTGCAAACATCACCCATGATATAAGCCTAATCAGCAATTGCCTTGCGGTGCACCTCTCGCCTCTGAACCACAGATCAGTTTTTACATATGTCAGTCAGTCAGTCACGTATCCTGCCACAACTGGATCATGCTCAGCATTGGAGCAAACTAAAGGGCAATCCAAAAGCAACTCAACAAACAGGCAATGCTGCAAAGTACAGTTTTACCAGGCCAGAAGGAGAGTTCTAAGAACACAGTCTGAGAAGCAGCCAAGATCCAAACACAGACAAGCAATGCAGCACAATATGCACTCCAAGAAGCAGAGTTGGGCAATAGGCAAGAAGGCTTAAACATGGAGCACAGGCAGAGGAACAAGGGTACAAGGCACTGAAACTGATAGAAGACATTATCCCCAACAATAACTCGGCTGATGTTGACTATACTGTACCCACTATAGCAGCTATACTGTTATATTTTAAAGACTGCTGGTTTATGTAATTTGAGGCTCTGTGTAATTCTACTATACCTATAAATCTGCTGAATAAGATGCTTAAGTTGCAAAGCACCATAGCCATAAATAGGTGTGATGGAATCCAGTTTGCAGTATGGAATGCATTTTTGTTCAGCTTTGGGCTACAATGCTGACTCTTCAAACAGGCTGAAGAGTAATGCAAAGGCAGATCAGCATTTCTATAAAGCTTATTCTCTCCAAGCTGCTGATAGAGAAGAGCCTACTGGCAAACACCTGAGCAGAGTTACAAACTAAAGCATAGGGATGCCTAAATCTGCAGATGATGACGCTGTATGTGCATGTGTGTGCATAGACAGACCATGTCCTTTAGAAGAGTATTAGTGAAGACTGGTTCTTTCATCTCTGACCAGCCGAGTCTGAACCCTTTAGCTCTCAACTGAAACACTTAAGGACTTTTTTCTTATTTCAGTGACTTGTCTATCAGGCAGAGTTCTAAACTTGGACTTGACAATGATGTTTTTACGAGAACCCACTAAGAAATAGAGAGAGAGAACATGAAAAAGCCATGCTGGATCAGACCCAAGGTCCATCTAATCCAGGACTCCATACACGTGGTGGCAAACCAGATGCCCACAGGATCCCTCAAGCAGGATGGGTGCAAGACCTCCTCCTGCCCAGCTCCCCAGCAACTGGTGCATGCAGGCAGACCATCTCAGGTGAAGGAGGAAGCACATGGCCACCAAGGCTAGTAGCCATGGATCGCCTCCTCCCTCATGAATCTGTCCCATCCCCTTTTAAAGCCATCCAGATTGGTGGATATCACCACTTCCTATGGCATAAAATTCCACAGTTTATACTATATGAAGTACTTCCTTTTATCTGTCCCAATCCTCCCATCAGGCAGCTTCATGAGATGACCCCAGGTTTGAGTGTTATAAAAGAGGGAGAAAAATGTCACCCTCTCTACTTTTTTACACATCTTGCATTAGTTTAAAGCTTCTATCATGTCTCCCCTTCCTCTCCTTTTTTCTAGGCTGAAGAGTCCCAGTCATTGTAGCCCTTACTTATAGCGCCTTTGTTGATTCTCTCTGTTGCCTTGCTCTGTACTTTTTCCAACTCAATGCAAATCAAAAAGATCAAGTATCCTTTAAATAAGGCATGTTTTTGCAGAATGGAAGAACTTATTATTGTTATTAGTTTCATTTCTATGCCACCTAATATCCATAAGTCTCTGGGCAGTTCAGAACAATTCATAAGCATAGGTAGAATACTAAAAATGGGTACAGTACAAATACAAATATAATAATACACAGAGTAAAATTCCGATATACATTATTTGAAACAATTTAAATGACTAAATCTGTTTCCATAAAAACTAGACATGTTCCATCATATGCCATTAACTGCTTGGGAGTAGAGGGCAATCTTAACCTGGCACTGAAAAGATGACAAGTTGCTGCTAGGCAGGCTTCTGTGGAGAGATCATTCAACAACTGGAGGGCCACCAGCAAGAAGCGCCTTCATCCCATTGCCTCTTTCCAGGCCTCCCTTGCAGGTAGCAGTCAGAGAAAGGCATCAGACATCCATCAGGTATTGCGATCCCAAGGACTTTACAGGTTAAAACTAGAACCTTGAATTGGGCTTGGAAGCATGCCCATAGTCAATGTAAGCAGGCCAGAATCGGTCCTGTGTTTGCAACTTCGGGTCCCAGTTATTAATCTAGCTTCTGCATTTTACACAAGTTGCAGCTTCTGAGTTGTCTTCAAGGACAGTTCCACATACACTGCATTGCACTAACTATCACCAGAGATCACCAGAGTGTAGATTACTGCAGTCAGCTTATCCCTGTCCAGAGAGGGGTACACCTGGGCCACCTGGAAAAAGAGGCAGAGCTGGTAGAAGGCACTCTATGCCACTGAGGTCGCATGGATCTTAAGTAACAAAGAGCCCAACTCAACACAGTGAAAGATCTTGAATGAAGGAAGTCAGAAGAAATTTCAGTACAAGGATAGAATCCTGCAGAAAAGGGCTAGAAGGAGACAAAAAACCCACTAGAAAGAAGAAAATGAATAACTGCAAATATAAAGAATGTATACAATGCCATATTTTTTGCTCTATAAGACACAGTTTTTTCCCCCTCAAAAGTAAGGGGAAATGTCTGTGCGTCTTATAGAGCGAATATGTGTGTGCCCAACGCCCGGGACGCTGCCGGCCGCCTGCACCATGTGGCACCACCTGGCCAGCACACGCTCAGTGCGCGCTGCTCCACACCCCCCCCTCCGGCGCAGGTGAGAGCTGTGCCGCTCAGAGGGAGCGGTGCGGAGGAGGAGGAGCCGCAGGCTTTAACCCACTGGCCACACGGAGAGATGGACTGCTCCCCCCCACCGCCCGGGAAGACCTGCCACTGCGCCGCCCGGAAGACCACCACGGGCACGCTGCCGGCCCGGCTGCACCACATCTGGCCGGCACGCACTCAGCGCGCCCTGCTCCGCCCCCCTCCTCCGGCGCAGGTGAGAGCCGTTAATCACAGGTCGGTGTGTGTTTTCAAATGGCAACCCGTCTTTTAATGAAGCCCATGGGGAAGTGATGGGGAATGTGCCTGTGATTATCAGGAAGCTTTCCATGGAGCCCTCCTCTAAAAACTAGGTGCATCTTATGGTCAGGTGCATCTTATAAAGCAAAAAATACAGTACCTAATAAGGACTTTTAAGTTTACATTAAATTCAAGACAACAGGAAAACACCTCAAAGCAGAAGCAACATAACAAAATTAAGAAAGCAGAACAGATTCGTCATATTTTACAATAAATATGTTTTTAAAAGGCAGAATAATAGCACCAACATATGGTTGTTTACCAAGATGGCAGTTTCAATATGTTAAATGGCACATTCACCCTAATCATTGCATTTAGAATTGCAGCCTACGAGATCTTGAAATCCAGTTCTTTAATTTAATAGCTTTTTCTTTAAAAAGAAAAAAAGGATGTTGCTGTTGCCATGGAAGTAGTTACTGATTATTTAAAATTATGCATTTTTTCTCAGCGCTGTATGTAGTGCAGGATATTTACACAATTGTGAATGCTTTTACTTGTAATTAAGTGTATTATTCAAGTTAAATACTAGAATTCACTGATAGCACAGTGACTCAAATAACAACCCGAACTATGACCATGCTGGCTGGGGATAATGGGAGCTGTATTTCAACACATCTGGAAGGCACCAGGTTGGAGAAGGCTGCCATACACAGTGTCAAGCTAAGGAAAGCGCTCCAGAGCACAGCAAAATCATTTAAAAGGGTAACCTCACTGCACTATATTTAGGTTACTCCTGATTCATGGCTGATGACTATACCTCTGTAATAGAATTGTAGTTAGGTAGTCAAAGGGAACAGACCCAGTCACCCATTTGTTTTTACTGGGGACAGGAAGAGAATGGTTTGGAAGAAAGCTGAAAAAATGGAAGAAAGTAAATGCAAAAATTCATACAATATATAGCCATGTGGCAGAGACACCACTGAAAAAGATATTTTGTCATCTTAAGTGAGGGAATGGTATAAGATCTAAGTGTTAATGCCAAGGCTTAATGGACAGAATGATGCAATGCTCTTTTTACTCTCTCAGCAAGAAAGTGGAAATAAGGAAATCAGAAGCAGCACTTGTCTTTAGGCTATGAAGGCTGTGACCTTCATCACTTTTGCTTGGAATATGCTCTTAAAAATTCAGATAATCTGACCTCCTACGCATATCTTTCGGATCAGGCATATCAGTTCATGCCTGTTTACTGACAAAGAATTTTGTCTTCTTACTTCACAGAAAAACGTGGAAGCAACCACTCAGAAGGGTAATTTTAGAGGCAATGCTAGTAAAGGCACCTCAAAGTCTCACCCACTGACCAGAGGAACAGAGTCACTGACTGGCAGCAATTCTCCAAGGGTTACAGTCAGGTTTCTTTCTCCACCTGGAGAATGCAACTGGCCCCCCCTGCACACGTATTCAGATCTTAGAACATTCTTTATGTCCCACACTAGTAACTCTTTCTATGGATGTATCTATACTACAAGGCTAAATAACTGTAGCTTTAACAGCATCTTCTGTTAAACATATTCTATTCCTCCACTTACAGGGTTCAGATTATTATTCTCTGTGTGTCGCTTATCACACACCGAAATAGTGGTCTGCAGGAAAGTTTAGCTATGAATTTTGCACCATGAACAACCCACAAGCAGAACCCATGTGTTGCTGGGTTGTGAACTCCAGGTTGTTTGCAGTCAACAAGCTCAAGTTAAACCATGGTGCAGTTTGCACGTAATGACAACCCACAAGTCAACAACAAACTGAACTCCACCTGTCCTCCAAACTGATGTCACATGCAACCATCTTTTTGTTGCATGTTCTGACAAAGGCTGGCACTGAGAAAAAGAACACTGAGACAGATGAGAAGGACGTGCACATGAAGCTGCTTTATTCTGAGTCTAACAAAGTATAATATGCTCCAACTAGCAGCAGTTCTCCTGAGAGGTTTTCCAGATGGCATCTATTTCCTTTTCACTGGAGATACCAAGGACTGAATCTGGGGGTGCTTCCAGAGGAAGCCACTGTCCTACATGATTTATGGAATTTTATGGAGGATCATGAAGCATTCAAATCAGACTGCATTTTTGTACTGCTTTATCTGTATTTTTAAAAGCGGCGGCGGCGGTGATGACATCATGCAAATAAACCCAAACTAGTTAGAAGTGAAAAAGTAGTACAGCCATGCAATTTTTCAGCAGGTACAGGCATAAAAACACACATTTGAGACAGAGGAGGACTTGTTTCCAGAAAACGTGTAATATATTTGGACTGTTTTTCCTTACTCTACTGCTTACCGTGCACTTACCATTGCAGAACTGTTTTGTACCCTGCAACACAAATCTTTTCCCTTCTCCCAAGGTTTTCCAAGCTTAGAAAGAAGGGAGAGTTCCCAATGAAGACAGGAGCAATTCTAAGTAGAATCAGTCTGTAAGGATGCAATCCACTCACTAGTACTTGATAAATGCATATTCACTTTTTTTTAAAAACCACAATTATTACACCATGCTAAATAAGGGCATACTGATGTTTAGGCAAGATTTGCCAGATTTTCTTTAAAAAACAAGGTAGCACTTACACACACCTCATTTATTTCAACTGCAACCCCCTCGCCTTTTTAACAAACAGTTTAAAACAAGCCAAAAAGTCCCTTTAAATATAGGAGAAAAAGAAAATGGAAAACCTTGTAAATTTCAGTGGTTTTCTAGGCAGATAGTGAAACTGACCAAAAACAATCAAAGGAGGAGGAAGTGTTCCTGTGTTATGGAAATTGCTAGACAGGTGATGAAGTACAGTATGGAATGGCAGAAGGCAGATCTCCAGATGTTTGGAACTTCGGTTCCCTCCACTGACCACTGGCAATAGCTTCTGGGATTTGAAGTCAAAATTATCAGGCGATCTACCTTCTGTCACTCTTGATGTATCACTTCATTGTAATCATACTTACATGGAAGCAAGGCTACAATCCACTTACCCTCTGCTGGACGCATTCCTTGCCTTGCATTTTTATTCTGAGCACACACAATAAACCAGAGTGATGAAATCATGTGAGAAGCACCAGCCTCTAAATGCCAGGAGAGGAAAGAGTGAAGACCATGCAGAGAGGAGACAACTTTACTTCTTCTCAGCTAGCAAAATACACACACCAAAAAAGTCCTAGACATTCAACAGGAATTCCACTTCCAGCTGATACAGAAGGCCCAACACTAGGGAATACTAAGAACTTTCGATCTGAAAGCACCTGGAACCATATGCACACACATTATGTTCCAAGCCACTAAACTATACTCCACAAAGTAATAGAGGGCCAGGTAAGGAATAATGTGAAGTCCTGAACCTGAAAAGTTGGAGGATTAATGCTTTGTATTAAGTTATATATGCATTATGATGCACTTTCCAGATTAAACTTCTCTAAGCACTACATATATTTCATAATACTATTTGCACAGTGTCAGTACAGAGGAAGAATTAAGTAACGCTGTTAGTGGGTTACAATCTACTCAGAAGACTAAAGTCAGATGAACGCTCTAAGAAATTCTTCCCATGATAAAAATCTAGAGGAACTTGCTTAATCTGAACATAGTTTAAATTCATCAGTTCTCCAAACTACATTAGATAATGGGTAAGTTCAAACAAATTTCCAATCAATTACATGCTGGGGAACTCTTGCATGGCTCAGAATCAGTCTGTTACTTCCTTTTTGGTAAACATGACAACTGGCCATAACATCAAAACCAGAAAGCTGTGGTTCACTATTGCTGTTCAAACTAGGATTGTAATCCACTGTTTAAACTCATTTGCATTCCAGGCTTGGAGAGCAATTGCAAACCATTGTTTGCCAATTGAAAAGTTATTGCAAGTTGTAGTTTCCACCAAAGTAATGGATTGATTCTGAACACAAGAGAGGGAAAGGAGATGCATGAATTCATGGCTTCACTCACTCATGTAAGCATCACAGAACTTGGTATTACTTCTGAACATAGAAACATAGAAACAGAGCAAGTCAGAAGGGGTCTCCCAGGCCATCTAGTCTGACCTCCGGCACCAGTCGGCTCCGCTCATGACATGTCCACCATGTGCACGTCCAGCCTATCCTTGAACACCTGCACTGATGGGGCCTCAACGACCTCTCATGGAAGCCCATTCCACACCCTCGGGGTCCTGACTGTCAGGAAGTGCTTCCTGGAATCCAAACTGAACCTTGGCTCCCTGAGCTTTGCTCTATTGGAACGCATCCTGCCTTCCTCTGCAGGGGAGAACAGGTCTCTACCCATCTCCATGTGACATCCCCTCACGTACCTGTATGTCGCCAACATGAACACATTTCATGCTTGATAGTATGAAAGTACACTACAGGACTGTTTATGAGAAGATTGCTCCAAAGAAGTAAAATACAATAATTAATGGGAAACTGGCCTTTACAGCCCATTTATATATACAGCTACCACCAAAATTTCTTTTATATTAAAAAGGAAGAAAGCTGTTTATCCTTTTGTTCTCAGATGAAAATCATCCCTTAATGCCATCCTTTCATCTACATAACCCTCCAAGAGAAA